GTGAAAAATGCTCAATCTTTAAATTCAAGCATCATTCGTAAACGTCACAGTATTATCGCTGAGATGGAAACAATGTTAAAATTATGGCGTAATAATCAAGTAAATGTGAAAAATTGTAAAATAATATAGGCCTAATTTGTTATACATATGTATTATCTAAGATTTTATTAAACATTTTTTTCTAAATTATTGTTTTATTTAGTCTCCGGCCCCAATTAAAAATTATTTGTATGTATTTATATGCGAAATTATACCCAGACTTACGCGAATTTGACTTACGCGGTTACCGCTCGGTCCCACCTACTGCGTAAATTTGGGTTATTACTGTATTATTTTTAAACTTGCAAAATTAATTTTAATATAAATTAGATTTAAAAAAAAGCAATTTAATTTGATATTATGAAACTTTTTTTACAATATGTTGTGTATGTATGTATATGTATGTATGTATGTATGTATGTATATATATATATATCATCAGAATAAAAAAAAAAACTAAAAACTAAAATCAATACAACACAGAAGCAACTTTTGTGGAAACTTCCTTTAATCTTTTAAAAGCATGTACAGTACTACTATGAGCTTTTAAAGAGTTTGATATATGTTTGTTTAACTTCTAAATAGGTACTGTAGAAGTTGTTATAGCTGTAAAGAAGTCAAGCAAATTCTGCTTAAGTATTATTTTTGATACATAATTCATTCTAGCTAAAAAACATCATTTCACATTCAATTTTAATTTGATAATTTATATTCCTATATCGAATTACTACTTCATAATTTGAAAGTTTTGATTATATTAAAAAATTATACACTTAAAATATAAATTAGAATTCAATATTTTATGACATAATGAAATTTTAATTAGCCTTTAAAATTAATTAAATTTCTGAATTAAAAAAATATTCCAAATGATAAATATTAATAATGGAAATAAAATTTATACTTTTTCATTTTTAATTTTTTTTTTTCAACTTGTTTTGGATTCAGCACTTAGATTTAGATATTTATATTTATTCTCTTAATTAAATATACACAAAGAAAAATTCATATTAAGAATACTAATTGAAAATTTAAATCAAGAAAATTTATTAACAGTGATTACAATTAATTATTCCTTATCAATATATCAGAATAATTTTGATAAAAATAATACTAGGTTTTAGTGAATGTTTAATAATATGTTATTTAAATTTATTATTTTTCCACAATTTTTTGTTATATATAAATTATTACCTGCAAGCATTTATTTTATAATTCAAAGTTATTTAAAGTTAATTAAGTCTATGTATTTTAAATCTCAAAAATTTTTATTTTTATATATTAATTCAGCTCAATTTGTTAACTGATGATGTGTGTCAAATGTCTTTTTCAAATAAAAAAAATTTCATAAACTACTTTGCACTAATAACTTTTTATTGAATAAAATTATAATTATTTAAATCAAACACTTATTTATATTTTCTTTAAAGTAAGTAAATACACTAACATTGTATCATACAGGAAGTGAACAAGGTCAACTTTACCGAATGGGAAAAACCCACTATTTCATGAAGATTACATGGTTACACTTAAGATTTTTAACAATTAACACACACAAAAATTAACATTCTTATGTAGGAAGCATATTTAACAGTACTTTCTTTATACACTGATGTGTGAATATTCTGAACTTCATGTGCATGTTTTTGTGAAATTAAAATTTGTCTTCCTTAGAAAGTAAATACTTTTATTCTTATGGTGGTTAGACATTTATAGTTATGTTTCCCACAAATATTTGTTCTTTTGATGATATATTTCTTAAACATTTTAGAGAGAGAAACTAAGTTTCTTTCTCTTAGAAAAAAAAATGTATATATATACACACACATACATAGATAATGAAATTTAATTTTATCAATTCTTTAAAAAGCACTAGGCATTGCCTTTAAAAGCCAGAGATTACTTTAATATACAAATGCTTCCAGATCATTTAAATATTCTTTAATACAAAACAAACAATATAACTTAATAAAATAAAATTATTCTATTCCATTAACTCTATTTAAATGAATGATTCAATTCTATTAAATTGAATTTATTCATTTTGTGTCCAAAGTTAGCTTAAATAAACCAAACATTCATATTAAAGTAATCTCTGGCTTTTAAAAAAGTATATATTAGTTTTTTAAATCTAAGTCTTTTTTCTCAAGATAACAGTTATTTAATTTCTCTTAAAATGGTTATTCTGAAAACCTGTGAATTGTTTCTCTACTTGACAAATATTTTGTGAAATAAAAATATAAATGCACTTTGTAATAGTATAATTTAATTTTTTAGTTATTTACAATTATTTAATATAAAAAAATATATTTAAAATATTCATTTTATACAAATTAACCCAAAAATATTAATCCTATGTTTTTTACAACTTCAATTCAAGAGGAAAAAATATACTTAAATAGAATGCATTATTTTATTCTCATTAGAAAATAGCACATAGAAAATTAAAAAGTTCTTTGTTAATCAATATCAATGAACAATAATAATAAATATTCAATTAATTAAATTAAATTATAATGACAACAAAATTTAACTGTTAAAAATTTGCAAACTATCAATTTTTTTTCTCTTTAGAATACTGAAAAACTTATAAATAATGATTTATTGATATATAAAAATGACATCTTTTTCAGAATGTCTTCGAATTTCCATTTAAATTTTGTTTCTNCACATATATATATATATATATATACACACACACACACATGCACACACACATTTAACTTTAAGTAAAATTAACAAATTTAATTATGATTTAAATCTAACATTATTCTAATAGTATTATATTTAAAGCAGAATAATTCAAGATTTTAA